GAGTTAACATATTGTACAGCATGATTTGTATTCAGCTAAAATATGACACTAAGCGATAGAGAAACACATTACTACAGGAAAACCACCTATCCTGTTCCCTGCCTGCGCTCCTCTGTATTTATTCATTAAACATTGGCCCTTCATCTTGGGCCAATAAAATACTCTTGCCTGTATTTGCCCCATAATAAACTTCACATAATATAATGCATAGATTTTAGATTTGAACTGTTTATTGTGGCAAAAACATGAGTAAAATATGGTCATCACACATATTTCTGTTACTTTTGAAATAAATGGGTCCTCTGCCACCCAGAGTAATAAAAGTGGAAACGGGTGGAGAATGCATATTACCAATAAAATTCCAGTCTGCCTCTCACCTGGGAATGAATGAAATCGAAGCCCAAATCAATAATGAAGACAATGATGAGGTTAGAGCATTTCAGTTGTGATAGTTAAAGGGTGGACATGGTTTGTTGCTTTGTGCTGACTTGTGGTAATGGCTATTTAACAAGGATTTGTTGCCAAAATGTTCCAGGGACATATTCCTGTTGTCACCACTACTACCCCAGCTGAAACAGTCCTCAGTCAAATTTTACTTTGGTACAATGAAGACAATGTTCTCATGTTGCTCTTCTTGATTTAGTCAGTAAAGTAAGAATAAAGAAGATCAAGATTCTCCTATGATGTGCTTCCTGAAAAGCCCTTCACAATTATTGGACACCCTGCTGTTAACATCATCAAAAAATCTGTTTAAATTAAAGGTTGGAGTTTTTTTCAGTGTGACATTATGCTACAGCCATAAAAGATTAGTAAAATGTATGGTCCTTTACACATTTTTATTAAGGCTGCAAGTAATTGCAGAGAGCTCTGTTAACATTAAGAGCAATCATGGACAATTCTTTCAACTTCAGACAACACAGTGCAGCAATTTGCAAGAATGGGCTATATTTTAGTATTAATTATTATTGTTTTTAATATTATTTTTACATAATATTTATTATTCAATATTAAAGACAACATTTTCTACAAAGACTGAGTCTTTTTGGACATGACCTCAACTTGTCAATGTAACTCAGAATATAATTTCAAACAAACTGGTTGGCTAAGAGTTAAAAGAATCTTTTAAAAGGATAATTTTAACAACATCTGCTTTTGCAATTGACAGGCTGTTTATTGGGAACAAGTAATCCTGCTGTGTTTTCCCTAATTTAACGAAGCTGGTATAGCATTAGTACAAATATGACAGGGAGGGAGTGGTCAAATTTATTTAGCGTCATACAGCACAATTTAATCAAACTCTATCTGACTATATTTCAGAATTAGACACACATGTCAAAAATGATCAAATATTAAAACTGTCCTCTCAGTTTGGGTGGCAGAGGACCCATTCATCTCAAAAGTAACATGAATATGTGTGATGACCAAAGTAGATACTTTACTCATGTTTTTGCCACAATAAACAGTTCAAATCTAAAATCTAAATTCTACAGAAAGTGGGCCAAGTAAACAGGGAGGGTTTACAATACAATTTGATATCCTTCTCTACCTTGAACCAGAGGGGGATTAACAGGCCTGACATGCCTCATTAGAAATATGAGCCTAGAGTTTATCTTTTCTGAAACCTCTTTAAAAATGTAAATTAGCTTCGTCCAGCTTTGATGTTTGCAACAGAGGAGCAACAGTGATAATAAAATGTTTCTCCTGGAGTCAGAAAAGCTATTGCCTGAATGTCAAAAATGAATATATTAGGATTTCTTTTCTTCTGCTTAAGGGGTCCATCTTAAAGGCTTTAAATGTGTCCTTGGACTTTCATCCTTGGTTTTCCTACAAACTCAGATTCAGCAGTTCTTTTTTTTTATTTTTTTATTTTTATTTTTTATAAAGAGCCTAAATGTTTTGAGAAGTTGTCACAGTTAACATTTAAAGCTGGACATTTTTTTGATGAATCATGTTTTTCTGATCCAGACATTGGAAAAACATCATGTGTTTTATATTTGTATTTTTAAAGTAATTTCTGTAGCAAATGGTAAACTTTTAAAAAAGGCTGAAGACAATTTTTTAATGAGTTGTGTAGTCCAAGGACTTTTCCATTCATCACTTTAAATTACTTTGCTAGACATTAGTGGAGCAAAGTCTCATTGTAAAATCCCTCAATTTTGTATTTTTTAGCATTTTTGGTGTCGGTCTGACTTCTAATTTGAGTTGTAGTTCTAGTTTTATTTTTTTGGTATTGTTATTCCTGTTTTGCTCTGTGTTCTCTTTACTTCTTGTTATTTCTGATTCTGAGTTTCTTTGTTTGGTATGTTAAGTCCTTCTTCCATTGCATAACATTTTCTCAGTTTGTCATCAGCTCTTTTTCTTCATCAACAACAGAATTAGACACCCTGAATTAGCCTGTTAATGACCACTCAGCTGTTTCTTCTTCATTAATGACCACCCCAGGTAACATACTTCTCAGTTCAACAGTTCCTTTATAGGATCCTTCTGTAGCACAGCTTTCTATTGTTTCTTTATGTCTTGTTCTTCTTTTTAATCAGGTAGAGTTAATGTTCCGTTATGATTTTAATACTTTTGCAATAATAAAAATGTTTAATTTAACTTATAGGCAGATCAAAGGTAAAATTAAATCAGTTCAAAGTGCTGCAGCTAAAGCCATTCAGTCGAGGTGTTATATTTTCACACTATTCTTCTCTAAACCTAACAAAGTGATTTATGGCCATAAATCTAACTATGTTACAAACTAAATCCAACAGATGCTGAAAAAATGAGGAAACTAAAGAATGAAAAATGTCTATTTTAAAACTTCCCCAACAGTCAAAATCTGCTTTTGAGAACTTAATCATCCAAATGTTCATCACTTTTCATCACTAAAAACACTCCCATACAAGAGATTAGAATAGATTATGTTTGATTTTTCTAAAAAAAACAGCAATGACACAGTTCCTGTTGGGTCTTCAAATTGTAAAGGTTGCCAAATGTTTGTGTTGGGTTCTTTTGTCTTCTTCTCAACAATATTTTCAACCTGGAAGTCACAGAGAACACAAGGCATAAGAAGTTGCAGGGTAAGTTTGGAAGAAGAAATGACTTTTTCAAGAAAATAAAAAAATTCAAAACGACTAAAGTCATAGATTTGACTCTACCAGAGAGGCTGAACCTCTTCATAAGTAGCTTCTAGCAACAGACTGTTCTTCAAAGCCATAAATACTCAGTGCAGAATGCATATAGTGATGATACTTTCTACATTTATCTTAGTTAAATGTTTGATTAAGGCCCTCTAGCATCTCTGAAACATTGTCTAGGTAGATTTGTCAAAATGTGCAGAGCAAACCTCCCACAATGTGACTTCACTGGGCAGCTGTTTTTCTTTTATATCATTTAAAACTTTTATTAATTTATACTCGTGAACAATTCACTGCAAAACCGTCAGCTGAACATTATATTTACCCACTCAGTTTCAACTCTGTAGTCCTTTACTAATTTCTGTAATGTAATTTATTCTCTATTAAAGTCTTTGTGGCTGTACCCTTTTTTCAAAAGCCATTTTCCGTCAGTTCAGATCAGACTGAGACTGCAGCCACAGTGGCAGAAGCCCAGTGGCTCTGGTCTTAATCATATAGAAGCAAAGTGTTGCACCTAAGGCTCTGCTCTCCCTGCTAGACCAAGTGACCCAAATATGAGCCAAGTGTCTGCTTAGTTTAAAAAGAAAATTTGTCTGCAAGAACATGACTAATACATTAGTCAGACTGAAACAAATCCTATGATGTGCCATCTTTTGTTTGACATCTGCTGCAGTTGGTCTCCACAAAATGTTTGGAATATTCAATAACCCTGACGTGAAAACAATCATAAAACCTTTCATTTTAGCTAAAACGTTGCACTCTGGAGTTGGAGTCTTATCTTTTTGACTGAAGCTTGTTCATTTTGAAGTCTATCCAACTCACCTTGCTATAAGAAGGTTACAATCAATTCAGTAAAGCAAAATAATTATTTTCTTTCACCATTACAATTCACACAATTTCTGCTCTTACCTAAAACATCAGCAGAGGATTTACACCATTGTTTCATCATGTGTTCTATACTGATTTGAATATGGCTGAAGAAGTCTTGTGTCAAATACAAATGAGGATTAGCTCTTATTTGTTTATTCAAACAAAGATTTTCCTGTCTAATGTTCTCATATTGACTTTTGGTTTGTACCCGACTCCTTTGTCACTTTCAACATCGCCTTTTTAAATCATAAAACACTGCCTCTGCCATGATGCATCAACTTCAAACCTACGCCCGTGACCAGCAGTCCATAAAGACGGAAGGACCACCGAGACGTGTCAGAGTACTGTCGTGACAGGGTATTATTTTGTGGAGGGGCATATTTCAAAAAAACAGATCAATAGGAATAAATCACCTGAAGCCTGGCGTGAGCCATGTTTTGTCAGCAGATCCAATCTCATAGGATGGACAGCTATTGATCCGAGCTGTAATCTCGCAGATAAAAGCTTGATCTTTGGAAGTGATCTGAATGGCTCATACATTTTGCACTGACACGAAAGAAAAGCCCCAATACTTCGAAGTCTCTAATGGTTCTTTTGGGATACTATCAGCAGAAAACAATAAATATACTGACATTCAGCATTTTGCCTTATTTGCTGCCATTAATATTGTGTTTCATTTGGTGCTTTTTCTTTCCCTTACATAAAAAGTACTCTTGTCCCAGTTCTATCATTTAGTATAGCCTCCTTTCAAAAAATACAGTCTGATAGAGCTACTTATGATATTAACTTTAATGTTTTGGCTAACGGGATAAAACTTTGGGACATCCCTGGTTTGTCCAGTTGACTGTGCAATGTGCAGACTCATGCTGCTGGCCAAACAAATTTTAATTCATTGAGTTTTAATCATATTTCAGTCTCACATTTAAAATGATAAATTCTACAAACAGAAATAAATACAGATAAGACTGTGAGTTACATTCAAAATTACAATCTCAGTTACATAAAAAAAACTACACAAATATCAGATTTTTACTTTCAGAATGAAAGGTGAAGACAGCGACATACCCAAAATATGATTGACGTACACAGTCAATCAAAAGAACATTTGATCAAATGTCGCCCTCTACTGGCATTATGTGAAACAGAAAAAGATCATTTTTAAAACAAAACAATGTTTGCTACTGTTATTTAAAGACATGTGAATGCTATCACTTCATTTACATTTCAGAAAACAAAATTTCAAAGAGTTACTTCAGTGAGATTCTTTCTCTCCAAATAGAATAAAAATGATCAGCACCAGAAAAAGCAGATGCAGCCTTTCCTGACTTTGTTAAAAAGGGCAGAGCTGCCAGAAGTCAGGTTTCTTGAGGTTTACAGGCCAGGAGGTAGAAATACTTGACAGCCACTGTGACTTCTGTCTCTGCAGAAGTCACTTTCATTACAGACATCAGCCTGGAGCAGACAAGAAAGGAGACATGACTGTTTCAGAGGATAGCATACAGACATAAGGGTGTAGAATGCCGCTGCTATCGTATAATAAAATGTATGAGCATTTACCTTATTTAGAGCCAAGCATAAACACATCAGTGGTGGTTTAAAACACTGGGACATAACTTTATGTGCAGAAAATAGCAGATTTGCAGTATATAACATGATGTTCACCTCTCAGATACATCCTGGGAGAGCTTGTTAGCTCTCTGTGGATCTTCTCTCAGCAAAGCTTGATAACTGGAAAAAGACTCCACCAATCCCATGTAGCTGGACAGCGGCATAATTTTTCTGTCCCAAAAACACTCCTGCCTGGAAAAACAGCACAATATATGCACCGTGCATTGTATGCATATCAAACACAGAAATAACGGGGCTCTTTTTCCTGTGTTTTACTACATCTCAGCCAAAGGGGAAAAACTTTTGATATCACTCAAGTCCGATTACTAGCCAAAGAAAAGGAATCCATAACTCACCACTCTTTGTTGGGATACGGAATAGATCCATAGGCCTCCCTGTACAGATCAATAGAGCTTTGACCAAGGTGGGGACTCCTGTAAGGTTCCAGAGCTGCGTAAAACTGACCAACAACAAAAATATAGATATTAAAATCGGAAATATGTTATGTATTTATAATGAGTGACATTTTCTAACTTCGACTTGTTAGTAGCATATTTTTATTCATTACATTACAGCACTGTTTCAGTGCAAAACCTGAAACTGTGAAAAAAGAGACAAAGAGCAACAAAATGTTTTAACCTCAAACGGCCACTGGATGGTAACAAAACACTTTTTCAGCATTTTACATTTAGGTCTGTACACTATTGATATATCATAAAATATTTTTTATTTAGATTCCTTTGAAGAAAGTTTAACTTGTTGAAGAAGGCCTTAACACAAAAGATGAACAACTGAATAAACATTCACTTCTTCTTGAATCATTCCTACTTCTTTTAACCCAACCATTATTATCAGTCACATACCCTGACATTTTTCATATCTGACTCCATCCTTGATGATTGATTCAAAAGTGGAGTGGCAGAGTATTTGATGTCTATTTTTAACTAGCCTTTAAATTAATATTTTAACCAAAATTCAAAATTTTAAATGAATTTTTATCAAACAACATTCAGCACTCAAACAGCAAAAGAGTAAGACTTTTAGTAAATACAGGGAAGGTTGAATAGAGTGCAGAGATGTTATTTTGTTTAAAGCTTTTGAGATATTCCTAGTAATTAGGAATCTGCTATATTCTCCAGAACATGCACATAAATTGCTGGTTTAATTTAGCTAACTGTGCCAATATTAACTACAAAAAACAGGAGACATCATAAAATGTGAACTCCAATAATTTTATATGTTTTAAAATAACATTAAAGTCATGTTTTATAGTGAATGCTCTCACACAGCGGTTTAGTAAATTGTTCAACAAGCTATACGACCCCAGTTTAGCTCAATACATGTCACCTCTCAAGAATCAAGATTATAGCGCCAATTCACAACAAATGTCGCCTCAAGACACTTTACCAAAAAAAGCAAAGAAATAAAATTAAATAAATATGAAAAGTAGTTATCAATCATGCAGGCAGGTTGAAAAAATATGTTTGATGCTATTAGTTCCTAAAGATCATAAAGACAAAACTATATCAGAAGTCAGAGGTTTGAGTTGAGGAAAGCCACTGAAATGAAAATGAGGCTTAACTATGAAAAATCACAGTAGTGCTTTAACTGGCACCCACAGAAATCCTTTCCCATCGGATCTATGTAAAAATCAAAACAATAAAGCAAAGAAAAAGACATTTCTACTACTGCAGTTATTTAATTTTGTGTCTTTTTGCAAATGTAATAATCGTGTTTGTGTTGTGCTTTTGGTTACGTTTTCAGTCTTTACCTCTTTGCAGACTTGGTTTAGTGCATGTTTGCAGCAGTGGGGGTAGCTGAGCTCCATGTTAATTGTGTAATTGAGCAGAGCCAAGCAACCTTGGGGCTTCAGGACCCGGTGGGCCTCCTGCAGGAACCGAGGCCTGTCAAACCAGTGGAAAGCAGACATGGCCGTCACCAGGTCCGCTGAGCTGTCAGCGAAGGGCAGCTCTTCAGCCACACATTGTCTAAAGATAAATCAGGGGGAAAAATATGAAACTTTCATGACTTTTCCTTTAAAGCATTCAAGAGGTGGATGCAGCCACCCAGACAAATATCAGACACAAACAGCCTCATAAAAGTCAGCATGCACTAAGGACCATATGAACTGTTTCATATGGTCCTGAATCTGCAAATTCCACCTTAGTACGGCTAACAAAATTTTTTTGGGGGTTTGTTTTCTTTTTTAACGGTGATCTATTATGTTTCCTTTTAAACAGCTAAGGATAGATTAATGAGATCTATGTTCATTACATTTTTGCACAAAATCATTTTCAAGGAATGCAATTTCACCTTCTCAGTTCTGTGTACTTTAAGCTCCTTTCAGAATGAGCTGTTTTAGTGCTCTGTCACATTTATGCAAATAAGTTGTTGCTGATCATGCCCCTGCCAACAATGTCTATACTTGCATTTTATACAGACCGAAATGTACAACCATACATCTTTGAAAAGCATTAGTAGAATTTCCTACACAACCAACGAGACTGCAGCAACAACAACAAAACACTTGTCTTTTCCAGCAGCCATTGTGCAATGAATGCAATGGTAAACTGACCAAACATGGTTATCTGTGGGCGGGGTTTTGTTTGGGTTGCTAGATGAGGGGCAATGCCTGTCATTTTTTTACGTCATAAAAGACAGCTTGTTTTCCAGCCACCAAAAAACATGAATTTATTGCTAGAAAATGACTGGAGGTCTTTTTTAAGCACTTGACCTGTTTCTAGAAGCGGTAGGGATCCAAATGCAAGTACACAAACACACAAAAAGTGAATTTAGCATACGTGGTTCCCTTTAAGTATTTAAGATTTTAATTTGTAGAGGACTATGAAAGGCAAATATCCCTTTCTTTCTATTTCACTAGTATCCACTACTGTACTTTCTATCAATGAATCACATAAAAACAAACAAAAAAAACACATTAAAGCTCTCAGCAATAGTTGACTGGGGAAAGATTTTAGTCACTGTGCTTTCATCACAATACAAGAAAAATAAAAAGCCATAGTGGATGAGCCAGTGCATTCAACTTTGGACTTGGACTTACCTATATGTGATGTTTGGCTCTTTGGCTTTCTTCAAAGCCACTTCCAACTGAGCAGGACTCACATCTGTTCCCACAACCGAAGTAAAGTGTTTGGACAGGATCCGCGTGCCCTGCCCAGAACCACAACCCACGTCCACAGCCAGTCCAAAGGGACGACCCCGCTGAGAAAATATGTAAGTTACAATGTTGTGAAATTGCCTTTTCGAAGTAAACGGCCTACAGTGTTAGCACTTATAAATCAAAAACATTAAATAGACTTTGGTTGGCGGCTTGTGCTCACATGCTTCTCTAAGAAGTCCAGAACTTGTTGGATCAGATGATCTGAAGGAGAGATCCTGTACTTCCAGTAGGACGCAGCATGCTCCTTACCTTCAAAAAGTCTGCATGTCATGGCTGTCAAGTGGTTATTTTCCGCTGATTAAACTCAAGTTTGGCAAGAAGACAAAAACAAACTGTAGTTTCTTCACTTGACAAAAAAAGGGAACTTCCACAAGGTTTTAAATTCCTCTCTGCTGACTGGCAAAACAAGCAGGGTGGGTGCTGGGGAACTGGAAGTAGCTGCCTCCAAGCGTACGTGCTGAGCCTTATAACAAGGGGCGTGAGTGTGTGGTTAACTCATGAATAGAAAAGTAGGCCAAACTCAGAGCCTCAGTAGGAAATATTTAGGTAGCATGGAGGATGATTTCTCTTAGAAAAGTCAGAACCCTGTAAGAGGGGTCTTTATAGACTGTAGGTCCAAAGATGGAATATTAATGCCCGCTGTATTTTTTATCACTCAAACATGTATTCATAAGAGAGTAATAAAATAAATATAACAAATACACACACAAATGTTCACAAAACGTATTTTCACTGCCAAAATGAGAACCTAACGTACAAAGAGCCATGCAGGCAAAAGAAAAACTGAGAAAATTCATTATAACGTGAAAACTTTATTGCTTTAGCAATACTTTTCATTTTTGTACAAAATCATGATATTACAAATTACTTTTCAAGTATGAACAATTATATCACTTTGATACAACAAACATATTTATGGATAAACCTCTAGAACGCTACAAAAGTGCTGAGATTATAACTTATTCTAAATCAATATAGTGTTTGACTGCTTTTAATCATTATTCCAATGAATAAAAAAATATTTGATCCACCTTAAGTGTGTATTGGTCACAAGAGCAAGGATTAATGGGTGGGAAAAAAGTTTACAGTTTAGGGGAAGGCTGCACAAAAGCACAGATGAAAGTTACTAGATAAAGTAAAAAATAAGAAAAATTTTTGTTTTTAGTTGTTTTGAATACTTTTTTTTAAAGGGGTGGTATTGTGAATTTTTTTAGGCACATAGTGCCATTTAGTAGCACAATCAAGTAACTATGTTACATTCAGTTATTATAGAAAATGCTGTATATATCAAATATAATGTAAAAGAAATTTGACTATGCAACTGATGCCTTGAAATTGGCCTCTGCTTCTTTAAGAAGCTCCCGCTCTTTCCTAAATGGTTGCCATGGGAGATTCCAGGTTTCCTCAAGCATGCATGAAAGTAACAAAGCAACACTGTAGTTTTGTTTTTATGAGGGAATAATAATATGCATCATATAAAGCTAAAAAAGTTACATTTTGCTTTCCCTGTGGTAAACATTCAAGTTTGTTGCAGAAATTTAGGGTGTAAGGAGAGATTTTTCACACTTTTTAGAATGCAATCGCACAAGAATCTCAGATCCTGTTAGCGAAAAACAGAATCTGAGATTCCTTTGAAAGTGTCAAAAGAAACGACAAGGTGTGGAGATCACAGTAAAATCCAGAAAGCACCACTCAGAAATGTTTGGAAAATGCTACGCTAACAAAACATGTTTCATATAAAAGATCTCTGCAGTGAAAAGTGAGTTTGGAGAATGACTAGAATGCTGACACTCCAGATCTACAGACATACAGAGGAGTAAAGTACTCTGATTAAAACATACAAACAGATCCAGTGAAGAAAAATAACAGCATGGGATGCTTTGATTGGAGGACAAATTAAAAAATATCTTGATAAGTCACTACTTTAAGGTTCTCCAGAAGTTGTAGAGACAGACCAAAAAGCAAACTTTAAACTGTTTGTCAAAATATCATTACAAATGCAAAATGCACAGCTTAAAGGGGATAGTAGAACAAATGAACATCCTATCCAAACATTCTGATTTGTGCACTCCTCCTAAAAACTATTTTAAATATCAAGAGATTCTTTGCCCAGTTGTGCAAAGTGTTTCTCTCTTTGTGTTTTTATCTGACTCACCTAAATGGAATCAACTTGAGTTGTACTCATAACTTTGAAAGAATTTAATATTTATGTCCATTACAACATGTCTGTGTCACTCATAACTAATGATTAGCTAACACCCTTTATTGTCAAGCAATTCTGTTTTCTCTTTTTAAATCATAACAGAAACTACTCAAATGTAGCGTAAACCTTCGATCAAGGCAATTGTTAAAAATACTCTGAAATTCTGCCTGGGTACGAAGCCAAATAAGCACAACAGTCCAGTCTCCGGTTTTTGTTAGTGCTTTGTGAATTACAAATTGAAACATCATTAATATGTCAAATATGTCACATCATCCGTCTTCCAGTGGTTAGTAGCACATAATGTTGTAGTGTTGGTTATTGTGGCTTTGAAGCCAGGATGCAGAAATATTCCCACTCCCGTTCTATTTCAGTGTCAACAGAAGTGGCGCCCATTTCATCCAGGAACCTGCAATGAAAATGCTCAAAGATTAGATGCACATATATATTATTTGCCAAAACTGTGTAACTAAACACATAAATGCAAAATATAGAATGTGCTTGTCTGCTGAAGAACAGAGAATTACCGCTTCTGAATCTTGGCCAGCATGTCTTCAGCCCCTTGTGGGTCTTTTCTCTTGTAAGAATTGTACATGGACCAACTGCTAATAAAACCCACCAATGTTCTGACAGAGATCATGGATTTGCACTGGAAACTCTCAATCCTGTTGGAATTTAAATAAGCAGTCATTTTAACTACAATTCTGAAAGCATACAGCTTAGCTTTAATTTGTATAATGACCTTATTTATAACATCAGATCAACCACAAAAGATTACCTTTCCTTGTCTGGAAAGGGTATGGCGGAATACAAGTCTTCCAGTTTACTCTCTGATGCAGCGACTGGGTTGCTTGTGTACGGCTGCAGCAACACCTTCACCTGCATAATATCAACAGTGAAGGGTCTAGAAGCTCTGTCTTATTATTTCTCAATATCAATTCTGCAGTTGACACAGTTAATTATAACATGCTGGTGGACATATTCATGACATATTCCTCCAAAGTTGTTTTGTGATCTAATTGGACATCGTCTCAATGGAGTAATGAAGCTACAGATAGTTGTTAAACTACAACTCTACTTCCTGCTCTGGATCCTGACTTTTACTTATTTGGAGGATGACAAGTTAACAGAAGTTTTTATGACCAAAAGACACCCAATCTGTGAGGTCAAAAATGTGTGGACTTTGATTGTTAGCAGAGTCTAATCTGACTAATCTAAAGTTTTTCTGTTTAAAACTGATGCCAGGTTTAAACAGAAAGGCTCCATCATCATAAGAATAACTAAGGTTGGACATCTAAGTCTTTAGATGAGAGACATTCACAGCAAGGAAAACAACATTGTAATTGTTTTGGGTTTTTTTCATCCTGGAAATGTCCTAAAAATTTGTCAAATTCAGTAGATGCTTTTGGTCAGAACAAAATCTGCAAATAAGAGGAAGTTGTTAAAGTAAGCATTTTATCTGCCACGATTAGAAAATACTCTGTTTTATAAAACGCATGTAAACATTTGTTGCAGATTCAAGCCAGAGGTTAATAATGAATTTGCTCACTGTACTTTGTCTCCAAAGTCAAGGCAGATCCTTCTGATGAGATTATAATTTAACTTCAACCATAAAAATCATGTCTTTAAAGCAACACCTACCTCCTGGTAGATATGGTTCAGCTTCTCTCCGCAGTTCTTATAGTTTAATCTGATGTTACTGTCTGTGAAGCCCAGCAGAGCCATGCAGCCCCTCGGCTTCAGGACCCGATCAGCCTCAAGCAGAAACCTGGTCGGGTCGAACCAATGTGCAGCCGAAGCTGCTGTCAACAAGTCTACAGTTCCATCCTCAAAAGGAAGCTCTTCTGCTGTCCCTTTACTGAAAATGTACCACAGAGAGACAGGTACTAGTCAGTCTGGCTTTAAGGAGAGAAAAAAGTAAAAAATATGTCACATCATCCACTTAGCTCACTCAATTCCTCCAACCTAAACATTCTGCTTCCTACCTGTTACTCAAGAAATTAAGAATAAACATGTCACAATAAACTATTAATAAATAAAATTAAAAGAAGTTTGATAAGTCCCATTCTTAAGGGCAAATTTGTTTACAATCAATTGTGTATTTATTGTTTTGGGTTGTTGTGTTTTATTTTGGATATTTAAAATGTCTTCCAAAATTATAGTTTATTGGTCTTTGAGGGGGCAAGCATTTATTATTATGCCTTTTTTAATATACTTGAAAGGCGTCTCCAAAAAAACATTATTGATCACAATAATTTCTGAGACAATTAGTAACTTAAAAGTTGTTACTGTGACAGGTCAACATGTAATGAAGTTTGAGTCACATCATGGAATGGATGCTGTAATATCACTTTGTTAATCGTGTTTTTGTGACACATTGCATAGTGGTTGTCACCTCATACAGGAAGAACTTCAGTTTATAAACCATGTTTTCTTCAAAATGTCAGCAAAAGATAAATCAGCAACAAAGCAGTAATATGGAATGGCAGAAGCTTTGTTATTCAGCTAAGCTTTTAACTTGCGTTGTTTTGCATACAAAAAGAATTTTATAATTTGCCGGTGACCATTTACACCGACAGTGGACCTATGCGTACCGATATGTGATGTTAGCGTATCCCGGCACGGTCCGGGCCTCCTCCAGTTGGAAGTCGCTGATATCGATGCCAACCACTTCTTTAAAGTGCGGCGCAATTAGTCGAGTATGCTGACCAGTTCCACATCCCAGATCTACAGCAAGCACATGCGGCTGTCCCTTCTGAGGATGAAAGCAGGCGGTAAGTTCTTTATTAAAGAGAGAAAAGATTATTTCACACAGGGCATACCTTTTGGTCCAAGTACTGAATGATAATGTCCTTGAGCCCAGATGGAGGTGTAAACCGATACTGTTGGTAGATGGAAGCGTGTTCCTTCCCTTCAAAAAGTCGGTAAGCCATTATTGAGCAAGTTTAACTTGCTTTTCTTATCTCTTGCCTGTTGCAACTCGCTTGCTCTCTCTCTCCTGCAAAGCAGTTTCTGTCCTTGGGAGCAAAGTTCGTCTTTGGTCTCTTTCAATCCCTTGTTTCTCTTCACTTCCCCTCTCTGCTAATCTTGTTACTGTTTAATATATTTATTTTTAAATCTCCTGTGAGGTCTTTGGTCTTGCAGGAATGAAACCTCCCAGACATCCTACAATTCAAATAAAACAGATGAAAGCAGTGAGAATTTAAAGACGATGAGATGAAAATGTGAACTTTATAAACCAAGAAAATAAAAGTGGATCAGTAAGATCAGGCTTCTTACTGAAAGCTGCCAATGTAGAAGGTCCTGTTAGCTCAGCTGTTGACTGTACACTGGCCCTTTCCTTTCATATTCACAGTACATCAATGAAACCAACTACGTTATGTGACAAATTACACAAACTAATGAAACGATCCAAGTAAAATAGAATCAAGTTCATTTTCTTGTCTGTAAGAATAAATGTGCCAAGTTTTTCTGAAACGGATTGTATTAGTAACACAATCCATTTGATTCTGTAGTAGCAATACACTTTACACATAAGACTGCCAGTATTATACATGGTTAAATTATTGAATAACAACAAAGACAGTTGAACATTGATCTGTCTGTCCCCATCAATGTGTCGTTTCAGTAACTCACGAATGTGCCAAGAGAGAAAAGGTTATGTGACAGAAGGGGGATTTGAGAAAAAGAAAGTATGAGAAAAAAGAAATAACAGGTAAAACACAGAGCTGCCTGGAAGAACCTCTTTTTGTTTAACAGTAAACATTCAACTTAACGGTGAATTACTGGCCCCTTCTGTTCCAGAGAACAAATTACAGTCAAAATGTGTCTGAAACCATCCAGTCTGTGTTTAGACCCGCTGGTCCGTGTTGCCTAAATCTCTGAATGAATGGCAGCCCGACTCAGAGCAAAGACAAACAACCTGAAACATGTTCTCTCAAATAATCCAGAACACACAAGGATTTATTTATTTATCACCGTGAGCTGCAGACCAGCGCTTCCGTACAAATGTCAGAGTATCACCTTTAAACGACTTCCCATCGTGTTTACGGCATAAATGGATTTACAAAAGCAGTAGGGAAAAAAAGCTCCAGCAACAACTTACCCTCAATGTTTGGCTGCGATCGACGAGAGGAAAAGGAAATAACGTGGACACGAGTGTATACAAAACAGGACCTTCAAAATAAAGCAGCTCAAAAAGATCAAATTCACGAAATGACATAACAAATGCATGCATTCTGCATTTTAACTAAATGCATTTTAAACTCTGTGATAGGTATTAGCACTTTTCCTGTAAAAATAAAAAAATAAATCTCACCTATGCTGACTGGACTCAACCAACTTTTCGAAACTCGGATGTTCAACTTCATCCGGAGTCAACTTCCTACAGATTTTTAATGAAGTGGATATCCATAATACCATGAAGCTGATCACTTAATTCTAGTTTGGGATCGCTACACTAGTTTCCTTTTCATCATAAGGCAATATGACTTCTGTAAAATTCATTTGGATTTCCAGTCAAACCATGAACATCAGTTTAAAATTAAATCAAGATGAAGATTTGAGCATCATGAAGTGAGTGAATAAAAGTTCTGGTGAAGCTCCTTGCTTGTGAAAGCTGCCTCTGATGTTATAGTTCCTGTTCACTTGGCTGCAGAGCTGCTGACTGTGTAACAAAAAAAAAAAGATCAGTTGATCTGGACTTTCTGTCTGGCCCAACCAACAATTAGTTCCAGGAATTTACATCTCAGATCTATTCACCCAGTGCAGAATGACTTCATGTAGTGTGAAACGCTTTGGAGTCCTATGAACAAAATAAAGCGCTAATCAAGGTTAGACCATTTTAAACAATCATCTTGACAGGTCTACTTACTCTTTCGAAAGCAAATAAGTGTTTTACTTTAATTGCACCACAACAGCTCATAAAAACAAAAGCAAAAGCAAACACGATGAGACTAGCCATACTTTGTTTCTTTCCATTTCTTTGTCAAGATTGTTGTTTTGGTTGACCATTTGCTACAAGGAAAACTATTTCTTAAGTTCTGCACGATGGGCCTTCGAGGAAGCAAAGTGTGCTTAATTGCACCTGAGGGATAATAATAATGACCTATTGACCATTTCCAAATGAGGCAGCGAGCATAATGCTCTCCCAAGGGTTCTCATTAAGTTTTAAAATATCAAAGGAATTAACTCAGACGTATATTTCTCCTCTGTTTAAAATGTGTATCAGCCTTGTACACTGAGGCATTGAATCCCAAAAGTTGTGACTCACTGTCTTTGTTTACTTGTTTGATCACCTAGAGAGGTTTTGCACAGAGACATGAAATAATCAGTAGTCAATTGACATCATTCGCTACAAACAGTGCCAAAATTATTCATATCCCTGGCACGTTTTCATACTTTGTTATGGTACAACTAGGGATTGTTATTTTGTATTTGAATTTGATGTGACATACTATAAGAAAGTAGTGCTGAATTTTGAAGTGGACAGAAGTGGTTCAGATTTGTACAAATGAAATAAAATGTATTGTTTTTCTCATTCTATTATCATATACCGGTATATGATAATAGCCTCCATATGTAATCCATATGGGGGCCCAAAAGAAAATCTTTAGGACCTAAAACATGCAGCACGCCTTGAGGACCAGGTTGGGAAACACTGATATGTAAATATTCTGTGCTTTTATGACACAATTACATGTAATTTCTGATATATAGTCTACTTTGCTCTCTGTGTAGCAAAGCAATGCCATCCAGCTGTATGGAATAAAGACACTTGATGTTTAGTTGCAAGAGAACAAAATACCTATATATCAATTCATCCTGATCAATTTGAGATTAGATGTCATAATGGGGTTGATCCAAAGTAAGCAGGGCCACCAAAGAGTGGATTAAAAAGAATACAAGCAAAAGATAGTGGGACTTTGTCCAGGTGGAAATATGAGCTCAGTTAGCTCCAGTTTAATCTGAAGATACACCAGACAACTTATCATAAGAAGGAAACCACGCTGTCTTCCAACCGAGCCCCATGCAGCCAGGCACATAATTATCACATGTGGCGTTGCTATCAACTGATGAATGGTGCGTTCAGGGTTTATATGACTTTGGACTGCGGGTCTGAAAATGACGTCATAGCTCAGATAACCTTTTCCTCAGACCACTAGCTCTCTGTAATCAGCTTCTTCACTATCTCTGATTCTTTCAATGACACCAGAGTCATTGGAGTTTTGTTCTGGAAGTCTGAAGTGTACAAAATAAAAAGTAATGCACAGAATACAACCAGTTGTGCTGCTCCAGTTCTCCTAACCACTTGATGAAACAGACTACCCTGTTGTCTGGTTGTCAGGTAGTTATAGATCCAGGTGATTGTGACCTGGAGTTTCTGACATAGGAAATCAGGCTGAATTGAGTTAAATGCACTGAAGAAATCAAAGAACATGATCCTCAGTCCTGCCTGCGTTGTCCAGAGTGGGTTAGTTGAAGGTTTATGGCATCATCTACAACACAGGTGGGCCAATAGGAGTCTCTCTTGTGGCATCGCAATGTGAGATGTCAGAGAAACAGGTCTATAGTTGTGGATGACTGATGGGTGAGATTTCCTTGATAAAACAAGGAAATCTCTGCACAGGCCCTCAGGACTCAGGGGCTACCAATATCTGGACCTGCAGGCTTACTCCAGTTCAAACTTTGACCTTTTTACTCTCTGTTTACTGAGATCGTAAAAACTGTTTTCATGTTTTCATAGTGAACAATGTTGCAATTACTTAAGAATGTAGTCAATGTTTAAGCTTTTCAGAAGACTTTCCTTGTTTTAACTTGAATGACTATGGTTCATATAACTGGATATTCAAGAACCTCCAGAACTTCCTCAGCTGTCACTGTTCAAACAGATTTCCATAGTTTCTTAATTGTTGCTTATTGCCCCTGAGATGCTCCTTTCTGTCCCTGTTAAAACAGATAATATTCATGAAGCTGGAAAATCCCATCCTTGTCTTTGTGTTGCAAAGCACACTGATTGGCTGCTTGGAAATCCTTGCTCAGCTGATTCTTAGTCTTACTAAAGAGTGCCAAGATGCAAGACTTGTCAATTGAAGAGAGTTGTTTGCCTTTGAAACAATAGACACATTTCTTAACACTAAAACAATGAATAATGTTTCAACAATTTCGGTGTTTTTTCTTTCAGGTCTGAATGAAACGAGTCGGAATCTCAGAGCAGCTCTCTTCTTTCTCAGTTTGATGTGTTACTGCATAACTGTCCTTGTAAATGTTTGTCTTATACTGATAATCATCTTGAATAATGAACTCCATGAACCAATGTATATTCTGCTCTGTGCTTTTTGCATGAATTCCCTTTTTGGAACAGCAGGTTTCTATCCTAAATTCCTGTCAGATCTGCTCTCTCCTGTTCATGTCATCTCTTATTCAGGCTGCCTTCTGCAGGCTCAGGTGTTGTATTCCTTTGCCTGCAGTGATCTGTCCATCCTTGCACTCATGGCTTATGACCGTTATCTGGCTATATGTCGACCACTGGAATACCACTCTGTCATGTCAGTGAAAAAAGGCATGAAGCTGGCGTCCTTTTTTTGGTTAACATCATTTTTCATCGTTTCTGTCAACATTTCTCTTACATCCAGACTGAAATTATGCAGCCCATATATTAACAGACTTTTCTGTGTAAATTGGAGCATTGTGTCACTGGCATGTTTCTCTAATGAAACCTCTATTAATGGAATTGTTGCAAATATAACAATACTAATTTATGTTCTTCATGGTTTCTTCATTGTTTGGTCATACATGTATATTATTAAAAGATGTGCCAGTTCTATAGAAAACCGGGCAAAGTTTATGCAAACTTGTGTGCCACATTTAATTTCCTTGTCCACCTTTCTTATAACTATTTTGATTGATATTATTAACAATCGACTTAGTGCTGCAGATTTAGCCAAAAGTTTGCAAAATTTTATTGCAATGGAATTTCTTGTCATCCCTCCCTTCATAAATCCGCTCATTTATGGTTTCAAACTGACCAAAGTTAGAAACAGAATTGTTACTTTTGTTACTCTCAGATCTAAATAAATTTAAGCACATTTATTTCAGATGTATGAATAAGCAATGCTTACATAAATGTTTATTTACTTTGATTTTTGCTTCCTATTTAGTTTGTTTCTGCTCAGAAATGCTTTTCTTTAATTCTTGTTTCACGGTTGTGAGAGTTAACTACCTTTACTTGTTTAAAATTTGACTTCATAGATGTTTAATCTCAAATGGTTTCATATTTTGATATTTTGTGAAAATAAAAAAGGTTAAAAATAATGTCACATATAAGAAGACGGTATGTTTTGTCAATCTAATCAAGGCTAGAAAAGCAGCTGTGGAAATTGTCTGGAAAATATTGCTTACATGACAAACCTGACAAAACACAACTGAGCTATTAAGATTCAACCTTCTGTAATTTCGTAATTGCAGCCCGCCTGCGGTGTCCCACGTGTCTGTCTCTATGGAACCAACTTTATCTTCAAGAAGTATCAAGCAAAGTCATTCTGCTGCAGTGCCTGAAAGAAGGGTATTTGAAATCACAGCAACTGTGGGACTTCCTAAATTCAACAGAGAAGCAAAGAAGGACACTGTAAGAGAGCAGAGATAGATTTTCTTAACTAAGATGAACAATCTTTCAACAGTTTCAATGTTTTTACTTTCAGGTTTAAATGAGACAAAACATGACAGGTCACTTTTTTTCTTTCTCAGTTTCATGTGTTACTCTATAATTATCCTTGTGAATCTTTGTCTTGTTTTGACCATAATCTTGAATAATGAACTCCATGAACCAATGTATATTCTGCTTTGTGCTTTTTGCTTGAATACCATTTATGGGACAGCAGGTTTCTATCCTAAATTTCTGTGGGATCTGCTCTCTCCTGTTCATGTCATCTCTTATTCAGGCTGCCTTCTGCAGGCTCAGGTGTTGTATTCCTTCGGCTGCAGTGATCTGTCCATCCTTGCACTCATGGCGTATGACCGGTATTTAGCCATATGCCAGCCACTGGAGTACCACTCTTTCTGGCCAAATCAGAGAGTCATCACTTTAGCGTGTCTTGCCTGGGTCATACCTTTCTGCATTGTCGCTGTAAACACTTTCCTGACATCAAGGTTGAAGTTATGCAGTTCGTATTTAAACAGACTTATTTGTATGAACGGGAGTATTGTTTTACTTGCTTGTTTTCCGGCTGAAACTTTTGTGAACAATGTAGTTTCAAATGCCACAATAATACTTTACAGCCTCCACAGTATTGTAATTATATGGTCCTACATGTTTCTCATCAAAAAATGTGTCAATTCTTTGGAAAACAGAAAAAAATTCATGCAAACATGCGTGCCGCATTTGGTTTCCTTGATATCATTTTCTGTAACTATACTTTTTGATGTTATATATATTCGATTTGAGTCCAAACATTTACCACAAACTTTAAAATACTTTGTTTCAATAGAATTTCTCATCATTCCTCCTATCATGAATCCACTGATATATGGTTTTAAGTTGACCAAGTTAAGAAACAAAGTTTTTGCATCTCTAAAAATGAAATGACCTTCCTGTCTTACTTTTATCTTTTGTAAAACTTAAGTCTATGATCATTTAAGTGTTTTAACCGTACTTTTAAAACGGTTGGAAAAAAGAAAAAAAATCAGTTTTCTATTTATTTTCTCCTTTTATTTTCTTAACTCCTTTCATTCAATTCAACCAAATGTTTCCCTTTTTTGGTTGTAATTATTCATTCATATTCAGTAAATTAGAATACTATTGAAGAATACTTTTAAATAAGTAACTCAATTCATTAAGGGAAACATCTCTACTGTGATGTTTTTTCTTTTTATTATTATATTTTTTTTGTTTGAAGATAATGAAAGAATAACATTTATGATTATATTATTATATCAGACAAGCATCGAACTGCATATTCCATTTTTTGGAATATGACTTACTGTAACTTCTAATATATTGTGTGGAAGGTAAGAAAAAAAAATTGTAATTTGAAACCATCTATAATCATTACAATTGCACTGTAATTAATTTTGCTCCCTTATTCCCCTATACCTTATTTTTCTAGTTTTTTCTGTTGTTTTAATTGCTGTCTCCTGTTTTTGTCTTTGTGTTGAAATTATGTATGAAAAGTGCTATACAGATAAAAATTGACTGAGCAATCAATTGTACAAATATCAATAGTTGCAATTATGTTAAGAAACAGCAGGATTTACTGCACAATAGCCCTCAATCTGAGAAATAATTTGTGTAGGCTTGTGGATAGAAACAAAATATTTCTGGCACAAGATTCATAAATCTCTTATCAATAAGCTCTTATAAACTATTTTATTAATTTTCAACTTAATATGGGTAATATGGTATGCATGTCAGAGATTTTCTATTTTTTTATTTCTTACATGTGATATGCCAGCAGCCTGTAAGATTTGCTAGTAAATTGTTTTCATAAATACTTGGGGTCTCATTTTTAAAGGATTGACTAGGATTCATAAAACTGTACTTGTATGCAAAGGCCCAAAATGGTGTACACTTAAAGATTTATAAAATAAAGATTTATAAAAACCATGTGCATGAACACCAGTAAGGACCTGTAAGTTTGTTCAGCCCTTTACATCTCATATATAAATGGTCAATGCAAAGCAGTTCTTAAATATTCATGTGTATTTGAACACACTGACATACAATGTTATTTCATGATCAACAAAGAAACAGCGTTTTTTTCTCTCTCTCTCTTTTCAAAAAGTCGTCTCACATGAGATTGGTCAAATGCTTTTTCCAGGAAAGTCTTTGCCAATTTTAGACAACTTACAGTAAAAATAATATATACATTGTTATTCACTTTAAAAAAAGTTTTATGTTTTGAAATAATGCACATTAATGTTTTTGTTATGCTACATTTAAATTGTGTTCAAATGTGTATATCATTTGACACTGCAGGTATTTAAGGTTCACTGAACAGTAATGTAATATTTTTATAAAGTAAACTATGTCATTCCAGTTACAATTCAACCACAAACTTTTGGTAATTCAATAATTATCAGTAAATGTAATTTTTGAATATTAATTTAGTTTCTTTTTACAATAGTAGTTATTCTAAAACCATAATCTTTATGTTGTATCGACTAGTTATTTATATATATTTTAGATTTTGATAAGAGTAGAGAAAGAAGAGAGAGAAAGAAAATATAATGAGGATTATGATGAGGACTGGCCATGATGGAGGACATTCAGATACCAACTATGAGAAACACTATCATGATCAAAGTGTAAGAAGGTTTTGCTCTTCTTGATATATTATCAGCATTTTTGAAGTTCGGCTTTAGATCCCGAACATGGTGCACGTACATCTACTGGCACACTGTTACGGTAAAGAGTGTAAGGTACAGCTTCACCAGAACAACAAAGACAGAAACTCTTTTGGCTCCTTTCGCGATGTGAAATAAAACTTGTAAAAAGTTGTTGGTGGAAAAAAAAAACACGAAGAGAAAAACTTCTTAAACTATTCCATATTTTCTAAATATTATAGCAACATTTGTTTTTACATCTAAAACTTATTATTGTGAGTTTGGCTCATAATTGTGAGCCAAACGTTCTAAGAAAAGCCTGCCGTCAAATGTGATACAAAAATATGTATCATAAAATAAATGACATGGTAAAAAAAAAATATTTTGCTTTAAGGCTTCATGAGGATCCTAGTTCTAAAAAATGTGAATTTTCTGACTATTTTTTGACGGGTCAGGCTTTAAACGGTTGGAAGTGAACGTCTGAGGGGTTAGCATCTGTTCCCTGTAGGCATAAAAGGAGGTGTACATGAGTACATCAAATACATAATTCCACAAACAATTTTTTCATGGACTCATTAAGAAGCATGCGATTCTGTGCAGCTCCCGCCTGTAGTTTTTCCCTACATTGCTTTGTGTCAGAATAAAGGAATCAATGTGATCAAGACCAAGACTGAGGCGTAAGTAGCCGAAACAAAGACGAGGACATTTTAACTGTCTCCTCTCAATCTGGAGGAGCAGCAGATCTATTCTGAGCCTCTCCCAGATGTCCAAGCTTTTTACCTTTCCTTTCAAAAATAAACTCAGACACAGTCAGAAAGGAGCACAACAAAACTAACTTGTCTTTGAGATATGGAACTGAAGACTTTGGCACACAGAGTTACATTAACAAAAAGAGTATTTTACTATATGCAAGTTTATCGTACAGACTGGTGCACAACATATGGGAGCAAACAAAGCAAATAGAGTTTTTCCCTAAAACCTTCAATCATTGTGTCTCTTTATTAGGTGCAGAAATCAAGCAATCAGCTTTTCATATTTGGCATCATTCAGTTAAGCCATCACCTGTAATGTTTGAGCAGTGTCTTTAGTGGCACACACCGTCACTTAGCATCGATAGAAATGGCAACAGTAAACACTAGAACATGGAAAGAACTTTTCTATCAAAAACAGACCCATAAATAGTCAGAAAAGACAATAAAATAACTGTGGATCATGATGTAAGACGCCTTTCATTTGTGGATTAAATGGTAGTATCACTTCAAGGGGGAGTTGATTTAGGTTCAATCGAGGTGTCTGTTTGTGTAGAGTCGAGTGAGAGTTGTTGGAGCCTCCAGTGTCCTCCCAATCAATGAGCTGCATCGCCAGAAAGAAAGCTCATTGGCTGGTTTGAAATCCCACTGCAACTGCAGGTTTTGTTATATTCAACAGACAAACATTAGACACTGTTACAGAGCAGGTTACACTTCTCAACCAAGATGAACAATGTCTCAGCAATTTCAATGTTTTTTCTTTCAGGTTTAAATGAAGCAAGAAATTATCGATCGCCTCTGTTCTTTCTTACTTTCATGTGTTACATTATAATCATTTTTGTAAATGTTTGTATTGTTCTGACTATAATCTTGAATAATGAACTCCATGAACCAATGTATATTCTGCTCTGTGCTTTCTGCATAAATTCCCTTTATGGAACAGCAGGTTTCTATCCTAAATTCCTGTCAGATCTGCTCTCTCCTGTTCATGTCATCTCTTATTCAGGCTGCCTTCTGCAGGCTCAGGTGTTGTATTCCTTCGCCTGCAGTGATCTGTCCATCCTTGCACTCATGGCATATGACCGTTATCTGGCTATATGTCGACCACTGGAATACCACTCTGTCATGTCGAAGCAGAGAGTCATCACTTTGGTGTGTCTTGCTTGGTTAACACCTTTCTGCATTATTGCTGTAAGCACTTTATTAGCTTCTAGGTTGAAGCTATGTCACCAGCACTTAAACAGACTCATTTGTTTGAACTGGAGCATTGTTATGCTTGCTTGTTTTCCAGCTGAAACTATAATCAACAACATTATTGGAAATATTACAATAGGTATTTATGTTCTTCACAGTGTTGTCATTGTGTGGTCCTACATGTTTCTCATCAAAACTTGTGTTGGTTCTTTAGAAAACAGGAGAAAGTTCATGCAAACATGTGTGCCACATTTGATTTCCTTGTTAACTTTTTCTGCAACTATACTTTTTGATGTTATATATATTCGATTTGAGACCAAGAATTTACCACCAACTCTTAAGTACTTTGTCTCAATAGAATTTCTCATCATTCCTCCTATAATGAATCCACTGATATATGGTTTCAAGTTGACCAAAATAAGAAAGAAACTTCTAAGTGTGGCAACTATGAAATGCAGTCTTTAAAATTCTGTTTTTCCTTAACGTATTCTTTTGTGAAAGTTCTTTCTTTTTTTTATTCCTTTAAGTTTAGCCATGTTTTTTCCTTTTTAGCTCATAAATAGTTTACTCTATATTACATAAGTAAAATATTATTGAAATTTTATATTTACAAAGTGAATCACAGGCACACAGAGTGATGTTTTCAAGCCTTTTTTTCTGTTAATAATAGTTATTTTCTGCTTACAACCACTAAAAACATTTTTTTAATTGGAATATTAAATCAGAAAAATAAAACATTTTCAATGTAGAAATGTGGGCTTAATAAAATGTTTGTTTAGTACTTGCTTCAGGATTGTTATTTTATAAGGGCAGTTCTGGGAAACAAGATTCATCCAAACCCACATTCTGATGTATTAATAATTAAGTAAGTGGCCAGGGCAATAGTTTGAATCATAACTGCAATTTCTGTCAGGCTCTTTTCCTCCTACTTAGCCCTGTTTAGTTCAGCATCTCCTTGTTTTTTCTTCTGCTTTCATTATATGTGAAGCACTTGGTGTTAATGTTGTGTATGACAAGTCATCATGTGCAGACAATGGCTGATTATTCACACAAATGGTAAACATTTGTAAAATGCAAAAATACATATATAAATTTTACAAAACATATTTTGTAACTCTCAGTCTGTCAAAAACTGTGTGCAGGCTGGCTGATAGAATAAAAACTTGTGTCAGCGTACTTTGATTTGTCAGATTCTGAAATATTTTATAACTCTGTTCAGCGATATTTAACTTCAGGAGCATCAAACTCTGTTTTTTTATGGTTTTAATCTTTTTTTGTTCAACCCTCACTGATAATCCTGAACCATATTTGGCCACATTTTTGTAACACTTCAATAAAATCATGTAAATGTAAGTGAGTGGTTTGTTCCCCACTCAAAGTAAATATCAGAGATAGTTTATGGATGACCAGCAAATTAAAGAAACATGCATGCAACACAAAATATGAAAATCATAATGGTGGACGAGGATATCCAGTCTGAGAGAGGCTGAAGGACTGTGTACAAAAGTAGGTAAAATACAGCATTTTAGCTTGTTAGCTTAATAAGTTGACAACATAACAATATTTCCTCCAGAACTTCCTCACCGATCCTGTTTGGCCATCAACTAAAATTATTGTGCAATTGTTGTATACTTCTTGGTCCTCCTTGAGCCGTTGATGTCCGGCCCTGTGGAATTAATTATGAGTCTGTAACCCTTCACCCATTGAATGAGCAACAGTGCATGAAAAGAAAGTTTATTGGCTGATTTGAAATCCCACAGCTACTGTAGAAATTCTGCATTTCAAAAGAGAATCCTATAAAACAGCTGGTTACAGAGCAGATCCACATGTCCTAACAATGAACAATGTTTCAGAAATTTCTCATTTTGTTCTTTCAGGTTTAAATGAGACAAGGAATTACCAGTTAACTATTTTTTTTCTCACCTTGGTATGTTACATTATAATCATCTTTGCAAATGTTTGTGTTGTTCTGACTATAATCTTGAATAATGAACTCCATGAACCAATGTATATTCTGCTCTGTGGTATTTGCATGAATTCTCTTTATGGAACAGCAGGTTTCTATCCTAAATTCCTGTCAGATCTGCTCTCTCCTGTTCATGTCATCTCTTATTCAGGCTGTCTTCTGCAGGCTCAGGTGTTGTATTCCTTCGCCTGCAGTGATCTGTCCATCCTTGCACTCATGGCATATGACCGTTATCTGGCTATATGTCGACCACTGGAATACCACTCTGTCATGTCGAAGCAGAGAGTCATCACTTTGGTGTGTCTTGCTTGGTCAATACCTTTCTGCATTATGGCTGTAAACTCTATCCTTACATATAGGCTGAAGTTATGCAGCCCATACATTAACCGAATCATCTGTTTGATCTGGAGCATTGTTATGCTTGCTTGTTTTCCATCTGAAACGACTGTTAACAGCATAGTTGCATATATTACGATATTAATTTACGTTGTTCACTTTTTGTTAATTGTGTGGTCCTACATGTTTCTCATCAAAACTTGTGTCGTTTCTTTAGAAAACAGGAGAAAGTTCATGCAAACCTGTGTGCCACATTTGGTCTCGCTGTGCACTTTTTCTCTAACTCTTTTTTTTGATGTTATATATATTCGATTTGGCTCAAAAGATTTACCTCAAACGATTAAAAACTTTATTTCTATAGAATTTCTCATCATTCCTCCCATTATTAATCCACTTATTTATGGGTTTAAGTTGACTAAAATACGAAATAAAATTTTAAGTGTGGCCACTATAAAAATAAAATAATGCTTTTGTGAAAAAAAATGAGAATAATTATAAATTTAGTAAATCACCTCACCCTTTTTATAAAGTTATGTCTTGCCATTTTTAATCTGTCTTTTTAGAGGCAAAATAAAGAGTCCACAATTACAAGCATAATGTGTCCTTTTAAAGACTGATGCAACAAATTCTTCCTGTCAGTAATGTATGTAGCTTTAGTTAGAATCTGTTTCATATGCAATGCATTTTTTGTTTTGCTTTATTGTTTTAAGTAATACATTTTTACAAATCTGCATGTTTCACTTAATTGTAGATTTTTAATCCACCTTAATTTAGGCTCTGTTTAATTGTTATATTTAATTTTAATTACATTCTTTTCCCATTTGCATTTAATATTGTAAATCTAGATTTCAGAATCAGTGAATCAAGCATCAGTAAAGATTTTAGTCTTTCCCAGAACTAGCTTTGTTAGCTTATTTTTGTTTTTATATTGATACATTTTTTATCATTATTTTCTTTTCTTTCTATTTTTATATCACATGAAGCAAATTTTGTTGTGCTTTCTGTATATGGAAACTCTTTAATAAAGACTGACTGCATAACTGAAAGATGATATTATTGTCAGGTTTTAATTGAACTAATTATGACAATGTACATTGATCAACACATCAATAATATGCCTGTATTTAAATATGCCAGAGTGAGCTCAAATTTGCCAGCATATTTATACCTGTAATTCTAAGACAGATGCTTTAAAACATAAAACACTTTTATAAATTTGGTTCTTCACCTCGGTATACAGTTGTCAGAGTTTGGGTTGGCTTTGGCTCTTCTGTTTCATTGCTAATGCCTCCAGTTCCCACTGGAGGGCAGAAATAAGCAGCAGAGCCGGCCCTAGGCGTTTGGGAACCCTAGGCAAAATGTGTGGTACCCTCCCACCCCCAGCCTACCCCTGCATTCTCAACTAAATACATTAGACATCTGTCAAAATATTGTACATCATGTAGCATTGTTTTACAACAAACATGAGTGAACAAAGCTCCATGATAGATGCAATAAAACACCAAAAAATGAAATACTACGAAACATAACACAATTAAAATCCTTCCACATCCTTTTAATCCACTGCTGTTAAAACTAATTTTGTGATTTAAGAGTAGATAAGGTCTCAACTCACCCAACCACTTCTCATTTGCATAATAAGGAAGGAATGCATGAGGAAAAGTAAAAATAAGAGACAAAAAATGTGAAAAGAAATTAAAAGTCCTGTACGATTAACAAAAATGTAAGAGGCAATTAAAAAGACATAAATAGATCTGTATAAGTAAAAGATAAGGCATTCAGAAAATATTTTTAAAAACAGTAAAATTTATAAGATAAATGTATCATTGGAACTAAAATGGAAATATAAAGATGATGGTAAATTCAGTTATAAAAACACGAGATAAAGTTATATATATTTTTTTCCTTTATTGGTGCATTTTAAGCCATTTGAAGAATTTTTATTTTATTTTTAATTCTGTCAGATTCAGTCATCAATACGTTGCTATTTCATCATCTAATTAATTCTGTTTTTGTGGACATGTATGAATCCACTACCACTGGTCAATCTAACCTGGAGAACTGCCCCACCTGTTAGCTCTGGCCATTTGCCTGCTCTGTAATGTCATTGTAATCATCCTGCATTCCCTCCTTCCCCATCTGTCTCCTTCTGTGGAATCAGTTGTGACTTTATGAAGCATCCAACTTTCACTGCTTCTTTCTTTCTGCACTGAAAGAAAGAAGGGATGATGAATTGAAATCCCACAGCTACTGTCAAATTTCCTTAATTCAAAAGAGAAACGAGATTAGATATTGTCAGAGAGCTGATCAAGGAGCAAAGGCATGTTTCTGAACCAAGACGAATAATATTTCAACAATTTCAATTATTTTTCTTTTAGGTTTAAAAGAGATAAGACATTACAAATCATCTCTTTTCTTTCTTACTTTTATGTGTTACCTTATAATCATTCTTGCAAATGTTTGTGTTGTTCTGACTATAATCTTGAATAATGAACTCCATGAACCAATGTATATTCTGCTCTGTGCTTTCTGCATAAATTCTCTTTATGGAACAGCAGGTTTCTATCCTAAATTCCTGTCAGATCTGCTCTCTCCTGTTCATGTCATCTCTTATTCAGGCTGCCTTCTGCAGGCTCAGATGTTGTGTTCCTTCGCCTGCAGTGATCTGTCCATCCTTGCCCTAATGCTGTATGACTGTTATCTGGCTATATGTCGACCACTGGAATACCACTCTGTCTTGTTGAAGCAGACAGTCATCTATTTAGCCTGTCTTGCCTGGCTAACACCTATTTGCTTCATTGCTGTAACACTATGAAGTTGACAAAAATAAGAACAAAAATTTTAAGTGTGTCCACTACAAAAATTAAATGACACTCCAACAGTTTTTCCACTTTATAAAATTAAGTTTCTCACTCTTATGTTTTGTGTGGTAAAATAACATTTTTTCTAGTAATTCATTGCAGCCAGGTTCACATTGTTGTGCTTGTCCATAAGAGGTAAAACCTTGTTTTATTTTTTCTTTTTATGTCCATAATTCCACAAATGTTTTTCTTGCCTATTTTCTGTGCTATTTAGAAGTTTAAAAACTGTAGTTGTGTACAATTACATATGTAAAGTATTATCATTTATCATAATTATAAGTTGGCAGAAAGTTTCCATTTCACTGCACATTCTAGCTGTAGTTTTATCAGTTTTTCTTTCTTTTTTTACCAAACTCATTTCTATTGCTGTTGTTGTTTATATAAAATATACATTTTAGTTTGTATTTGTCTTGCTTGCGTGTTTGTTTGTTTTTATTAATTTTTATTAGTAGTGGTTTAGGTTTCAAAATTCTTATGTGGATTTTAAGAACCTGTAATATCTTCTCATCGTTGTTAAAACAGTTGTAGTTCCTATAAGTCCATCAGCCTAACATATTATTGTATATTTACCACAAATTTTTTTAATCATTGTTTTTAGCTTGTTTTTCATTGCCTGTTATTTTTATTTCTATTTTACTTTTTGTGTATAAAAAGTGCTTTATCAATAAAAGCTGACTGATTGAGAAATCAGTTTCTGAATTACCTCATTATTGTCTCCTCAGAGACTTGCCTGGAGAAAAACATACAAATATTTGTTTCATTTTTAATTTTCTTAATTATAAATTAAATAAAATACATATTATTTTATCATCATACTATTCTATCATTTTAGTTGTATTTTTTAGGCAATATTTCTTTATTACAGTCACAGCTTTTTGACCATTTCTGTAAAAATCTGTGCGGTCTCCCCACCACCAGGCGGCGGTAACGTCTCGCCCCCTCCTCTGCAGCAGAAGAAGCGGGCCGACAGCAGCCTCTGAACACCGCAGTGCATGCTACCGCTCAGCCTGCTCCTCCGTTCGCCTTTCTTCCACAGCAGCGACGACACGGAGGAAAACAGACGTCCTGTCTGTGATTTTTACCCCAAACACAGGAGGACTGCCCGCGTCCTGACAAGCCTGCTCGCTCCCCTCCAGTCCGCCCGCAGTGAGTATCCTGGTTTTTGGTGTCATTTCGGGGCTGCAGTGGATGGAACATGGTTCCGGTGGTGTTTATATAATATTAGGTTGGTAATCCTCTACAGCAGCGGCTCAAAATAACACGAATGATTCACATAAAACATGCTCGTCTCTTCATATGGGCGCCGCAATGAGAGGGATATATTTACAGCTTGTTGAGGGATTTTAAGTCTATTATTTTGATTAATATTGATATTATTATTATTATTATTATTATTATTATTATTATTATTATTATTATTATTATTATTATTGCACTCCCCCATTCCCTCCTCCTCCATCCAGTTCTGCTCTGTCAGAGCCTGGAAAGCTCCGCTCTGGAGACCGCATCGTGTTCAATTAACGGGGATATGGGAGCATTAAAGCCGTGCTGCCTTCACTGCCGCAGTGTGTGCGGGGATGCTCTGCAGGTATGACCCGAAAAAAGCCTCCTCTCTTTATAAGTCCTTGGAGGACAAAAAAAAATTTGATAAATTAAAGTGTGAGTTCAGTGCAAGAATGTGGCAACGGCGCTTATTTTCAGACTGCGTTTTGTACATAGTGTAATAACAGTTTTATTACTATATTATTGTGGTTTAACCAGATTATGGTGGCATTTATGCTTAGTTTCTTGTTCCAAGAGATAATTCAGAAATATTTAATCCACTTTGCCCTGGAAATGCAATTTTTGCAGATATTTTGGGAAATCATTTAAATGATCCCGTAACTCAGGTGACTCTGATACAGAAGTACCTTTCTAATGACCCCTACTTGAAAGGACAAGCAACCTGTAAATTGTTAAACATCAATTCTGTTAATCTCTCATCATCAGTTGTCAGCAACAGATTTTATATTAATATACATTCTGTTGCTGAAGATTGACCAACTTTGGAAATTTTATTTCAGATAAGCTCATAGTTGTGATGTATTCATGGACCAGTACGAAGGCAATAGGTATCGGTTTATTCCTTTTGGTAGTATTTTTGTTGAATTATTATCAGAAAAACACATGAAAAAATGAGCATTAATCAAACCAAAATACCTCTGAACACCCTCCATCTGGTAGATACTTTTTTATTAGAGCTATATAACTTTATTTCCCTACATTACGCTATGAGTAGGCTACTTAAAAAAAAGTTCCTGGCTGTCACAATGAGTATGAAAATAAATTGAAGCAGGCTGGCATAAAATATCCCGTGGGAGATAACTGCTTTTTATTGCTGGAAAGAGTCCGGTATGAAATGTCCACGACTGCATAATGGAAAAATGCCAAAGAGAAGAAATGATCACTGTCTGTTAAAGTATGTTTATAAAGTATCATCACACAGTGATCCGTGTCGTGCAGCTCTTGTGTCCCCGTAGATATCTGAGAACGGAATAAAATGGCAAATGCACAAAATGACCGTAAGACACCAATAGATGGCGACAGTGTCAGAAAAACCTAACAGGTTTCAAAATTCCTATAAAGAGAACATTTGTAGCACGGCTAAAGCAGTTTTGGGCACCTGATTCTTTTGCAAAAATCTTTTCTTTGACTTCATTCATAATTTCTTCTTAGTCGAAACATTTTTTTTATCACATGCTTGAAGTTTAAAGAGTCAGGACAATATAAGACGAATGTGAAAAACGCAAGTCCAGTTTAGTTTCAGTTTCTAGTGAAGAGAGGGCAATTTTCACATAACTTTGCATATTTGCACTTAGGAAAATATGCATGTTGTAGAAAACATCCAATACACTTTATAGATAATACAAGAGAGAAAAAATGTTGAATGTTCATACATCACTTCATCTGTTTACCTTTCAGTTGAAATCCTTCATGCATGTGTTCCTCTGATGTAATGATGAATTTAATCTTCCTTTCTGATCTCTTGCCTACATCTCAGCTAGATAGTTCAGCTGCTGATGTGGGATACCTTGCAGATGTCTTAATGTTTGGCTTCTGCCAAGCCTGATTTATTTCTCATAATCTTTTCAAATTGGTCTGTAATCTTGTAATGTGGTCTTAAGCAATAAGTTTCCTGTTTTTCTGGAGATCTAACAGTTTGCTTGACATTTTTCCCTCATTTTTGCTTCTGTCATCTTAAAGAAATTCATTTAGGCTTTAATGAAACACTTAAACTTACACACATCAGACTATTTAGCAAACAAACTACTGTTAAATTGGATGATTAGGAATTTTAATACTATCTACTTGTCACTGAGTTCCAGACTCATCCATTCCTTTAGGATCATCTACAGAAATTTGAAGGGTAATTAAAGTACTTAATATGCCCCATAAAAAGTGAAAAGGTGATAAAAATCTGAAACCTTGTCAAATGGTAATGAAATATTATAGAAAGTGAACAGAGTTTTCTCTACTTTATGGACTACAGAGACCCTCCATAAATTGCAGAAAAAGTAAAAAAAATAAAAAAAAACAAATACCTCCTCACTTTCCCTTCACTTTCAAGAAAGATAATTATTTTGTGTTTGAGCATGTTTCCATTCACTGCAACTGCCATTCTTACTAAGATAAAACTGTTTTAAAATTATAATTAGCATGCTACAGGTGGCATGTCTGTTAGGAAAGGTAGATCTAATTTAGAGCTTGTGACTGAGAATGACATTCCACCTGATTTCATCACACTCCAGCTGCAAGTCAGAGAACAAGTGAGTCTGGCTGATTGTTGTTATTATAACTTCTAGCTGATTTTCTTCCTATTTTATGCTTTCAAGCAATGTTCCGATGGCTTAATGAGATACAATCTGAAGGAATACTGAATCTCATTCCAGACCCAACCCTGATTGATCATGTTTTTCTATGCCTCAGAAATGTAAGTCTATTGGAAGTATTTATTAAATATAAAGTTGTTAAGGCCGTATAATGAAATGTGAATTGAAGCCAAGACTTTTTACAGCACTATCCCTGCATATATGTCTTTACTGGAGCTGGATGGAAGATGGATTTATGTTGTAATTATTAGAAACTTTTAATGTGTCTTCCAGGAGCCTTCTGTGTTCGTTAAAAATGCAAATATGGAAACATTTCACTTTTTAAAGTGCATTTTCAAGACCAGCTCTCAAAAGGAGGCTATTTTTTTCTGACGATGAAGCTAAAAGTCCAGATTGCTTATTTGCTGAGTTAATTGAGTATTTAGCAGAAACTGGTTGCTACGGTCAGCTAAAACAGAGCACCGTCAAGGCAACCTTGGCAAAAACTGATCAAAGCTGACTGCACAAGACCTTACTCTATATTTTACAAAAAGACTGCTGCTCTTCTTGCTGATGTGACACGTTTAAGAGAGGAGAAAACGGCTGAGATCACTCACTGGGGGTCTGGTGCCAAACTCAGCGATCAGCAGCGTTGGGTAAACGGACCCACGCAGCAGAAGAAAAGACTGCTAGTAAATTTTCAGTGAATGTCAGCGCACTCTGTCCATGCACTCTCCTGTATGTGAAACCCAGAGGGAGCAGACGGGGTGGCCGTAACCTTCACTCAGCCCCATGTGGACATGGACGTCTCTCTCATTGATCTCTAGGTTCCCTGCTCTAACCCGTCGGCACTGTTGTGTAAACCCTGATGAGTGCAACACAGCTCATCAGAAGTGTAAAGCAAGAAATATTTTTTTAACAACCATCCGTCTGTTTGTGTTTTTTCAGTTTTTCCCTCAAAGCTCTTTGAATTACTCTGAACTTGAGTGATGCCTCCATTCATCCATCTAACCATCTATCCATCAGTCCATTTGTCTAATATCCACTCATTCATCTAGTTGATTGTCCATCATCCTATCCATCCAGTCAGTATTTGTAGCAATCTATCATCCATTCTCTGGTCCTTCCTTACCTTGTATACTTTATCAATTCCTGATTTAAATCACAATAGGGTGAATGGATAGGGTGGATAAAATGAAATGGCTCTGCATTCATTCTCTCTGGACGCCTTTCCTGAATATGTTTTCTTTTCCCGGCAGAACCTGCAAAAACACATTAGAGTCTTGCCTAATTGTAAAATTGGTTTGACAAAGTTAAATTAATCAGACTTCCCTCAGTGCGACAGTGATTCTCCTGTGTGTCGTGTACAATCTCATGAAGAGTGGTTGAAAGGAAGAAATGCTATCCGTCTGCTGGGAGATAAATTACTTTCCAGAATGTGCTGTAATTGCAGAGGGGATTTCCTTGTGGCGATTGAACATTGTTTCACTTATTTTGGGTCGAAAATGATTTTAAAGTTGTTTGAAATGAATGTTTCCTCATAGTGAAACCTTATCTCAGCTTATCCCGACCTCTTTTCCTGAAAAACACCAGGCATCCTGTTTTCTTCCGTCTGAATCAGCTGTTCACTGAGATGAACAGCAGCCACAGTCTCGGTGTGTTTCACTAGACACAATTTGTGTGACACTCAGCAGCTTCCATGCATCTGATCTGCAGCTTTTTTCTGCTTCCATGTAAAAATAAAGTCAGTTTTTTTAAGCATCGATGCTATATTTGTTGCCTAATGAGACATGGCAGAAGAAAAAATGTTAATTCAATATATTGCAAAGTTCTATTTAGATAGTTTTGGCTAAGCTTTAGTTGTCATTCAGACGTTCCGACATTTAACTATAGAATACTTTCAAATTCAATAAATCATCACCCTCCTGCCTTCTCAACAATCAATACTTGCTAATTACATTAGTAGAAGTGTATTTTCTGATGTTTAATATGTCAGAAATTGTTTAGGAGGGTGTAGAAAACTTCATCTAAGCTGTTTCTTTGCCAAAACAACAGATGTCATTCAATGCAGTTTTTTAAATAAAAGAATGTTTTGAAATGGAAATACTGAAATTGAATTTTGTTCAAATATT